AAGAAATAGAATTAGGAATAGAAGGAATAGAATTAGGAAAAGAAGAAATAGAATTAGGAATAGAAGGAATAGAATTAGGAAAAGAAGAAATAGAATTAGGAATAGAAGAAATAGAATTAGGAATTGGATAGGATAGGATAGAACAAGGACTTGAATAGAATAGAAATAGAATTAGGAATAGAAGGAATAGAATTAGGAATAGAATGAATAGAATTAGGAATAGAATGAATAGAATTAGGAATAGAATGAATAGAATTAGGAAAAGAAGAAATAGAATTAGGAATAGAAGGAATAGAATTAGGAATTGGATAGGATAGGATAGAACAAGGACTTGAATAGAATAGAAATAGAATAGAGAATAGAATAGAATGAAAATAGAAGAGAGACAGAATAGAATAGAGAATGTAATGAACAGAACAGTGTACTGATTATACACGAGGAATTTGTCTCCAATGCAGAAGCTCTCAATGTACATGGAAAGCAACAGAGTAATAATCATAATACGAGTACATAATAAGAGTAAATCAGGGGTGTCCAACTTTGGCAACTTTAAGCCTTGTGGACTCCAACTCCCAGAATTCCCCAGCCACGAACAGTGAGCTCTTGCGGTTTAAGGCTCGCAATCAACGTTGCTCTTTCTCCCATCCCCAGTGGCTCCGTGCTTGGATCTCTCTGGACCAGTCTCACAACTTGCGTTGCTGGTTTTATGACGTCGATGTGAGTCGCGACAACGGGCGCCTCCTGCTGACCATCAGCGACATCCAAACTTGGCACGCCGGACCCTATCGCTGTGCCAGCCTGAACGCCACCGACAACACCACCGTCTCGGATGAACTGGACTTGAAGATGGAGTGTATGTGGACGGGTGGTGATGGTGGTGGTGGTGGGGGGGGGGGTTTGGATCCCCTCTCTAGCCACCAGAGGGCAGTAGATAAACGGGAGATGAGGACTAGGAGATTGCGTTACTCTTCCCTCTTAGAAGACTGTGCTCCTGCAGTTCACACTCCACGTATCCTTGGGATCTGCAGTGGAGTGTTTAGCCGAAGGAAAGAGAGGGTTTTGAAACGCCAATAAAAAGCACATTTATGAGCGGAGGGGAAAAAATATCCTCACAGGCACGGTTGATTCTCAACCAGCATGGCTCCATTAACAGGACAGATTTAGAAGCAGAAGCAACCGAAAAGAAGCCACGCTGGTTCTTTTGATATCTGTAGGTGGGGTGGAGAGAGGGGGATAGATGGAAAACTGTTCCTGAGCCCCGGCAACGGAGGCTCTGAGCTGAACCCTACTAGGCTGGCTCCCCGAAGGGGTGGGAAAGGAAGAAGGCTTGACTTTCCGTGTCCTCTGCTCTTCCTCAGATCTGCACAACGTCTTTATCAGCCACCCCAACTCCTGGTGTGGCACTGTAGGGGAATCCATCTCGGTCCTTGAAGGAGACAACCTGCAACTTCAGTGTTCAGCAGACGCCTCCCAGGCACCAGTCTATGAGTGGACTCGAGAGGTAAGGGAGCAGGAGCCAGGCTTCAGAATGGGAGAGAGTTAACAAAGAGTTGGAAGGGCCCTTGGAGGTCTTCTAGCCCAGCCCTCTGCTCAGGCAGGATACCGCATACCGTGTCGGAGAAATGATTATCCAATCTCTTCTTAGAAACCTCCAGTACTCACAACTTCTAGAGGTCTATATCTATCTATCTATCTATCTATCTATCTATCTATCTATCTATCTATCTATCTATCTATCTATCTATCTATCT